GCCATTTTAAGCTAATAAGAGATGTGATTTTATGAAAGATATTTTTGTTGTTATTAACTGATATGGATTTAGTCATATTAAAGATTTTAAAATGTCAGTTCTGATAGCACAAAATTATAGTGAACATGTCATCTCAGATTAGCTGATTATATGAACAAACCACTCACTCTTGGGGGCGGGGGTGCCTTCTTTTATTTTGGCATGCTTTAATTTTTAATTTTTATTTTTATGGCTGAGGGCCTCAAAAGATGAAAGTGGCGTAGGTCTCTCTTGACCTCTGAGAGGTCCTGGGAACTAGACTTTCAGGAACTTTTAACAATGTAAACAGAACATAGCATGTAAATAGAGCATAGCCTGAAGTTAGGGTATTGCAGTGACCTAGGAACCAACAGACTCTGGTCTTCAAGATAACCTTTATTGACCATAAGGTTATGAAACCTAATTCACAGGCATAGCTTGTACATTTTTTGCTGGCTAATCTAGGACAAGGACCAAGGGGTCAGAGAAGGAATGTTTATATTCTCATGGGTGTAATGTTCATTCACAGGTGATAGTTGTTCTTCTCCATTGTTATTTGTTTGAGTTATTTCATTTCAAATCTCAAAGGCTCTTTCAGTTGCATGATGAAATGCAGGCAGAAAACCTACTGCTTTGGAGCTATTTCCACATTCCCCCACCCCCTTTTCTTTTTAAAACAAATCCACATTTACTAGTTGGATGCAGAGGAATGGTGGGAGGAGCCAACTGAGGAACCAAGAAAGCTCAGGGCTCAGGGAGTGGTGGTGGGACAACCATGAGTGGTCAGAGGGAGAAGAGGGAGGAAATAGGGAGAAGAGGAAGGTGGAGGTGGCAGAAGCTGAAGAGGTAACAGGGCTTAGTGAGCTGGGAGAGTCTGTGGCAGAGAGCAGTCAAAAATCAGAGGCAGAAGCTAAAGCAGGAGAGTGGGCAGATGAAGGCCAAGAGGCAGATATGAACCAGACTGTTGAAGAGTCACTGGTATCTCCCCCTCCTGCTGCAACAAGCTCCCCTCCCCCTTTGTCTCCCAGAAAGCAATTTGCCCTAATAGAATGTATTTTTATGTTATTTTTATGCATACTTTAGTATATGCATTCTTAATATGTGCATTATGTTATCCCTACTCTTTCTCAATTCATAGCAAATGTGCCAGTCTTCACAGGTGTGCTTCCTGATGGTGATGTGAAATCTGGGAATACAGGTATAAATTATGAATGGTTGTATTCCATGCACGCTTACTTGGGAGTAACTCCAACTTATTTCAATGGGACTTGTATCTGAAGAGTATGATGCTGCATAGGACTGAGCTGTTCATTTAGAATTAAAATCAGTCTTCATCAGTTCACTTCAAAGCCTGTGGGCAGAATCTTTCATCTTATTCTATTTTGGTGGCCTCCTATCCTATTCCTGTGTTCACGGTGTTCCAGATTCAAGAGAAAAGCATGAACAGATTCTAAACTTGTACTCCCTGTGATAGGCAAAGACATTACCTTGTGTATCTCACCAGGTTCCAGTCCTTTTTGCCAATTAAATAAATGACTGCCTATTAATTAGATTTGTTTATTATTAAAATTTAATCTTTCTCCTCACCTAGTTCCATCATCTTTACTAGTCTATAATTAAAGTAAAGCTAAGAAACCTGGGGTACGTATTTGGCCTCATTCAAATTATACCCCCTGAATGTAAGCTAAGATACATGTTTACCATACTGCAGTCTAAATCCTTTATTATTCTAATCCCTTGCTTGGGCTGCTGGCAATATAGAAATTGGTTTTCTGTGACTCTTAAATCTACAGTAATGTGTTGGTGTGGTTTTGTTCTTGTTTTTTTTTTTTTAATATGATGCAAACTGATTTGAACTGATGAAAAAGCCCTGTAGAAATATTTTAATAAAAAAAAAACCAATAAAGGGCAGGATTCACTAAGGAGCCCCATTAGCTGAAGCCGTACATAAGAGCTTTCACTTGCACAACAGGGCTTTTCTCCTCTCCTCTCCTCTTCTCGTACCCCTGAAATGGGCTCTGGTGGGCTCCAGAGAACCTTCAGAACATCTCCCTGGAGGAGGACAAGGGGGATCATTCCATCCGGAAAGCTGCAATGCTTGCATAGATGGAACATTTGTAAAAGCCCAAAGTGGAATCCCACCCATAGTAACTAAAGGTGCAATCCTATACTAACTTGTCTGACAGTAAGCCCCCTTGAATTCACTGGACAATGTACAAGATTACACTGTAAGCTTCGGCAACTGTTCTTAAAAGATCTGAGCTACCTAGCAGCTTGGGGTTCACTTAGCTCACATAGGAGCTTAGCAGACTTGCAACATGCTTTGCAAGCCCAGCTCTTGGGAGTTCTTACCTTCATGGCCACATGGATGAGGATCTGCTTTCCAAGCTGGAAGAGGGGAGTAACCTTAAATTAAGTCCTTGCATTAAAGTGGCGTTACTATTAGCAGTCTTCTAAATTGTGATACAGATTTTGAGGAACTAGGCCATGGTGAATCATCTACCAGCCTCTTAGTGACAGGCACTGACTCTAAAGCTAGGTAATCTTCACTAGCTTTTACTCTGTAAAGTGTGCATTGAATGAAATAAAGAAGATAGGAAAATAAAAAACTCCACAAGAGCAGAAAACTATGGACAGTTGTCATGGGGGACTGACTGATCAAGTCTCATTCCCTGATTAATGGAATGCCTAGCCAAAAATTGTTTTGGAGGTGGAACTCTAGAACGATATTCAACAGTTCTTTACTTGCTTGGTAGTGAGTCCCACTGAACATGATGGGGTTTACTTCTGAGTAGATATGTATAAGGTTGCACTGTTAGGAGAGTCTCCTGCAGCCTCAGTCACCTTCATACTGTCAGTATTGTCCAGAAAGATTCATACACATACAGAAATTTTGATGTGTGCAGTTAAAGTGTGGGTTTTTTAATGGACTTTTTGCAGTTACAAAAGTGAAGGGAAAATGCACTCCATAGTGTGGAATAAACAAATGAATAACAGGAAGATATATAACTATTGTGCAAGCAAATTAGGATGAATGTTCATTGTCCCCACAAACAAATCAAAACAAATGCTGAATAAAGACCAGGCATCATCTAACCTCCACATAAGCTTTGTGTAAGCAAATCAGGACAAATGCTCAATAAACAAGTCAACTAGAGGAGCCCCTTGTGAGCCAGAAATGGGATCTTTTAGAGTACAAGCAATGTTTCTCAGGTTTTTCTTTTTTAAATGCTGCAGCCCTACACTCTGTGGTATTCTGCATTAGAGCGCATATATCCCTCCCCTACTTTGCATGTGGTTATTTTTAGCCTTATAGTACAACCCAGATGAACAGAAGAACCCAATCTTCATCAGAGGGGTCTTGTGTTATTTCCCCTCTAGCCAACCTGCATTGTTGTGTAAAAAAGATTTGTCATGCCACAGGAAAAGCAAGCCCAAAGTCCCCTTGGCAAATGGGGTGTGTGTGTGTGTGTACTTGTGCAGTTCTTTGGATCTTGATCTAAGTACTTGAATTTAACCAGGTTGATCAGGATTTAACTGGTTGAATCCAGCCTCTCTTGCTTAACTGTTTTGCTTAGCAAACCATTCCTGTAACATCAATTCCTCCCAGTAGGAATTGCTGAGCAAAAACATTCTTGTGTGTTCCTTCTCCCGTTCTGTTGTCCTAATGTCCTACTCTTTCCCTCCCTCAACACTCCTGCTGTCAAGTTATGATTCAAATACCTCTCCTACTTATATTGGTACTGAGCATTGGGGGTTATGTGCAGCACAGGGCTATGTACAAAAAACATAACACAAACAACAGTACAAGTATAACAGGAAAAATAAATATAAATAAATATAAATGCTTTTAATTGATGGTTGAAGACCAACAATGAGGGTTACAGACATGCCTCTGGGGGAGATCATTCCAGGGTGAGGGCCCCACCATGCAGACCCCCCTCTCCTGGACCAATCTTAAGCATCAACTGTTTCATGGCTTTTGTTTGGGGCGATGTGACTGGCACTGTGTGTATCTGAGGTTCTACATGGACTACAGTTTTTTCCTGAGAAGTGCAAGTGACATGCTAAAAGTTATTTATTTCCCACTGTACACACACTTTTTTATTTCCTATTATATTATTTATATTTTTCTCACTTTCCTATTCTTTAGGCCGCTTATAGTCAAGGAACCAGTAGAAATCGTCTTACTGGTGGCCTTTGAAATCATGGCAATGTGCTTGACTGCCTGTGCAATAAAAATGAGAATGCTGTTAATAACGTATTGCTAGCAGTGTTTGATTAATGCAATAGGGGAAGGGAAGAAACCAAAGAGCCTATCCGTGTAAGTTATAACTGGGCTTAAGGATCAAGCAAACATTAAAATGGGGGGGGAACGTGGGGTTCCTAACTTTGTTTATCCCTTATAACATTATTGTGAGAACAATGTGTTTAAGTGGGGGGAGGATTACAGAGTGGGAAAACAGCAAGCTTGAGATAATACTCAGGTAGATGGACTGACATAATAAAAGCCACTTTCACCTATTTATGTGGTTATCACACTTTCTGTAGTAACAGGGCCTTGAAGAGGCAGTTTATACCTTGAAACCAGAAGTGAGCCCAGTGTTAGAGGTGGTGTTTGCCTTAAATGTCCCAAATTCCTGCCCACCGTACCTCCTCTGTTAGAGTTCTCCTGTCCACAGTCTCCATAATCTCAGCAGCCTGCTTTGTACAGTCACTGGTCCTCTTAACCTGAGTTGAAGCTTTGACCAGCAGTGAGTCTCTAATTTTACGCAGGTATCTTTCACAGCCCTGTTGCCTCAGATCCTTTGACGTGAAAAATGCCTGTAGTGAAAGGGATGCCTTACAAGTGAGCAACGACGCCCCTCTCTTTGTAGGGTTGGGACCACACATATCCCAAGGTGATGTCTAGCTTGGCCCTTACTCGGCCAATCAATTGCCGTAAAAACTAAGCCTCGTTTCCTTTCCTTTCCTTTCTGCAGAGCAGAGGAAGAAGTATTCCAATTCTAACGTCATTATGCATGAGACGTCACAGTACCATGTACAGGTGAGTCAAGGAAACTCATATGAATGAGCAATAAATTGCATACAATTAGAAATGATACTGATATTGCACCATTTATAGGAGGACATTGATCCTTCTAGTTACATTTTTATGATCATGCTTCCTGGGTCATATGCTAGAAGATTTATTACAAACAATTAGTAGAAGCTCAACGCATCATGTGCTGGAGTTGCTGGAAGTTGGTAATGACTCTTGATCTTTGCCCTGCTTTCCCTTCGCTCAGGTGCTGGGGGAAATGTTCACTGGTTTCCTGTTCCCAGTGGCCTTGCAGAGATTATCTAGATCAGTGTTGGGTAATTTTAGGCTCTGTACCTAATAGCCTTACAGGGAGGCCCTTCTTTAAATGGTGATGTGCATGACTTCACTTACAAAATGTGATGGGGGCCACACAAACAACACATACATGGGCAGGGGTGCCAACTTGAATAAACTATTGAGGGGGCAAGTAATTGATCACATGATGGGGCACATCATTTGAATGGCAATGACCATCAACTTGGGGGGACCCTACCCCCTCAAATATTTTATTGGGGGTGAAGGGACCTGGGCCCCTAGAAGTTGGCTCCTATGTACATGGGCATGTGCTTTACCAGTCTTTGCTGTTACATCTGCTTCAGCCCAAGCTGCACAAATCCTGGGAAAATGGCTTCCATGTGGCTAAGGAAAGGTGCAAAGGCCTCTTTAGCTTAGGATCTTTCCTGATTATTGATTTTAGTGCAATGCATAATGCAACTGTTCCCTTTTGATTTAAGGATTCATTTCTCTTTCCTCCAGAACACTTTTTTAGCAAAGGATACTGTACCCTCCAGAAAGCTAACACCTTGGACAAGGATATTTATGTCATTTGTATCCAGCTTCTCTCAGGGGAACTTTACCAAGGGTTCATCTCATGACATGTTATCCTCATAACAGTCTGGGACAGGTTAGGCTGAGAGAGGGTGACTGACCCAAGTCACTGAGCAAACGTAATGGGTGAATTGAATTGAGCCACTGCAGTCTCCCCAGGCCAGCCCACTGACTCTGTTATGACCTATATTGACAAATCATCATCAGTGTCAAAGTCAAGGAGTGCTGCATGACAATGAGTATGTAATTTTCTTCCACATGTGGCTTAGTCTCAATGTAGGTCATTTAGTCCCTGAAGATGTGAATATCTGGGGTGTGTTGCCTTTGGGGAGGCAGAGGGAAAACAGGTTTCTCTCCCCCTCCAATCAAGGCCTGACATGCAAAAACTTGAAATTCTCTTGGAGGAAGGGAATTGGAAAGAAAACTGATAAAAGACGGTCTTTTTCAAAATGAGTGAAATGATGTTTAAGCAGTGTTTTAAAATAATATTGCTACACATGTATATACACTGCCACAAACCTTCTGGAGCCAAGACACTGTGGTAGTAACGTTAGTGGTAATAGTTATGCTGCTGTATTTGTCTGGATTAGAATTTAAGCAGGACTTGGGAAAAGCTCTGTAAAATATCCTGTGAATGTAAGAAGCAGAGCTGTATTGAATAAAATAATTGTTTTATCAAAGCCAGTTTTAGCTGCTCTGACTGGCAGCAGTAGCTCCCCCAAAGATCCTTTCCAGGGCTGCCCTTTGAGGGCCAATCTAGATATGCCCTTATGTGCATCTTTGCATGTAATTTGCAGGTTTTTTAAAATGCAAATTGCATTAGTTGTATGTATTTATGGATCAAAACTAGGGTTGCCATACATCCAGAACTTCCTGGACATATCCGGAATACTGCAGTCGGAAGCAGCATCTGGGCGGAAATCGTTAGAATGTCCGGGAAAATCTGGATGTATGGCAACCCATGTCGGCAGTTTCATTTTTGGTGATTTACCTTTGAATAGCTAAAAAAAAATCAACAACAACAAAGTTCAACAAGTTTTCCCCAAAAAACGCAACAACTTTTCTGTCCTTTCCTCTTCTGCTGCGATTCTAAAGAAAATTCCTCTACTGACGCTCCTATTTGCTTTGCAGGAAATTCCCCACTGGAGCCATTGGTGGATAACAATTAGACCCGGGCAGCCAGTTGATGCTACTTTAAAGATGCATTTAACATCACTAGTTTGACCCTGAGACCCTTGTAACTGAAAATGCTGTGGGTTAATTTAACAAATATGGCATAGACCAGCCTTCCCCAACCATATTCCCTCCATATGCTTTGGACTACACTACAAGCCCCATCAGTCCTGACCACCATCAGGGCATCAGGTTGGGGAAGGCATGTGTAGACTGTGTTCACAGGTTTGTGTGAACATGTGAATGAGAGGTGATGGGACTGCCAGCTGCTATCCCTTTCCTCTTTACACATTCATTCTACATGGATGAAAGCGCAAACGCTCCACTTGTTTAGATTGCATGTTTAAATACTACTCTGTCTAAAACCGGCAAATAATAATCTGTTCCCAGACATTTAAGAAAAGGGAGCAGATGGTGTAGCACCTAGGAAGACTGGAGCTGTATTTCCTTCCTTTTAAAGAAATCAAACACTGGACATATTTTTTGCAAATAAGCAATAAAATCATTGCAGTCACTTCCACTGGAAAGTAGACTTTACTCTCTCCTGCAACTAGAATGCATTTTGATCTCTGTTAATTATGGTTGCTCAGCTGTAAGCTGTTCTTTCCCCTTGAACTTTAGTCAAAGCAAGTGTGATAGCTGTCAAATTGGCAGTTTGTTCACACACATAGATATGCACCTGTATCTATCTATAGAGACAGATATTTACCAAACAGCATGTTTTTAATCTTCCTTTCTGTGCAAGTTTGTTGTTAGATTTTTTACTTTGTCAGTAAGCATAAAGGGTTACATCCTTGCATGACCAGGAGGAAGCCTGCACAACATATGTTTTCCTCCCCCTGTAGCCTTATGCACCCTGCAGAAAACCTCTCTAGGGAGTCAGGGGGACATGCCAAACATTGTGGGCTATGTCTTATGTGGCATCACCAAAAACTAGATGGAGGAATCTGGTTGCAGTGGAACACAAAATCTCTCCACTCAGTTCAGGATGATTCTGTACCACCACCCTATATGACACAGCCCACAATGCTTGGTACATTCCTCTTACCTTTTGGAGAGGTTTTGGAGAAAGATCTGTTGTGCAAGCTTGCTTTCTGCACATGTTGGATACAACTCTAAAATAACAGCAATCATTATCTTGCTTTATTGGCCCTCATGAAGCTGCTGGTAGGTGGAAATGACAGCTCCATATGAGCATAGCAGTTGTGCACAGACCACCGCCAACCGCAGCAACCCTAAGAGTGCCAATCTTACTCTAACAGTTCAAGGTCAACTATATGTTGCATCGTTTTAATGCACCAACCTGCAGTAAGATATCCTTATGTGCCCTATTCTATTGCAATGCCTCCTTGGGAAGGGGGCCTAGTCTTTTGGGTTTTCAAAATGGCATGTGTTTCAGGACTGAGGGAATAAAGCAGTTCAGGGTGTCAGCTTCTGTTGTCAGAATGGGGTGGAGGGGTGGAGGGGAGGAAGGTGTGAAACGGAGTTCTTGGAGAAGAGTTTGCCAAAATTTGAACACTGCTAATCTGGCAAGCTGTTTCCTTTGCGGTGGATACCGATGCCATGGATTAAGTATAATGTGAGAAAGGCAAATGTGCTCTCTTGCGCTTGCTTCATGCTTCCCTCTGCTGGCTGATAAAACCACAGAGGGAAGTATTATGCGATTTTTACTAAGACCAGGAAGAACAACAGTTCTAACTGGCAACAATGGCAAGCAAAGAGAGATTAGGAAAACACAGTCTTTTATGTGTGTATCCTTGCACTGCCCAGTGGCATTGCAGTGTTGCTTGCTCATGGCATTGTTATCAATACAAACCATACAAGAGCAGCCTGTGCATACAGATCCTGAGGTTTAGAGATCATGTCATGCTATAAAAGCTGAATGCTTTCTTAACCAGGACAACAGGTTTAGAGCTGAGCTGGAAATGACTGCAAGTACAATCATGCCTGGCTGACTTTCTACTGCCTGGAGAAAGCTACATTCCTAGCACTGGCACAAACACACAACTGTGCAGTGTGGAGAGATGGAACTAAGAATGGGTCAACGCACAACATTTCATTGTTTAGTTGTGTGCCTAATGCTGTTTTAAGTGTACACCTAAAAAATGGGACATGCCAATGCAATCAACACATGTTTACAAGTATGTACTTACAAGCAGGTACACGAGGAGGGAGCCAGCATTGGTCTGCAGGCCAAGTGTACTCTGTGGCAAGTCCAGTTTTGATACCTCGTAATGTGATGTTTATATATGTACTGGAATCATCATCATCATCATTAGAAATTGTTTAGTTCACTGCTGTCAATCAAAGCAATCAAAGAAAGGTAGACCTGTAGGAAACATTTCTGTTTGCAACCACACCACAGAACCAGGGGTTGACCAGGCACTACTGTGCAGTTGTATGTGGAAAGAGTAAAAATCCATGTTGCTATTAGCTGCATTTGTTATGCAAGCAGGTGAGACTCCAACATAGCGACTGCATGAATTTTCTGAATTTTCAGCTCATACGGATTAAAATGGCTTGTGACCTCCTGCTTAATCGGAATACTTTCCTTTCACCCTGCCCACCATTGTTTTTTCTCCTTTATAGCATTTAGCCACCTTCATCATGGATAAGAGTGAGGCCATTGTAACAGTGGATGATGCCATCAGGAAACTCAAACAGCTGGCTTCCAAAGAGAAGATCTGGGCCCAAGAGATGCTGTTGCAAGTGAATGACAAATCCATCCGACTGCTGGACTGCGAAACTCAGGTAAGCAGTAATTCACCATTCATATAACAAAAGCTCCCATAGAAATATCAAAATTTTGAAAAGAAGGGGGTCCATGGCTTGGCTTTTGCCAAGCATGTAAACTGGGGGATCTCCCACAAGACTCTCTGGCTGCATACACGTCGTACATTTAAAGCACCCTCCCCCCCACAAAAAAATCTAGGGAACTGTAGTTTGCCCTTTACACAGCTGCAATTCGCAGCACCCTTCACAAACTGCAGTTCCTAGGATTCTTTGGGGGAAGTCATGTACTTTAAATGCATTGCATGTACACTGTCTGTTAATTTTGCTGGCACAAATGAACATGGCTACACCTGTGGGAACAGCTTCTGTAGTGTTCCAGATCCTATTTCTGGCTGGGATTTGGTAGAGTATGTCACTCATGCACACAAGTTGTCTTTGCAAACATAGAAGTGACAAGTCTTTAAGACATTGTATTTTGACATGATGCTCAAGATTGATAGCAAAGGGAGGAGGCAATACAATGAAGTTTTGTTGGCCTCCTTACAAAAACTTTGCCTCTCTTTCCTACCAGCTAAGAAACGCCCAGAAACTTCACATGTGCCAGCAACAATTTTGTCCAACTGCCTTCATGCAGCTATAGCTACTAATGGATTTAAAGTACACTGAGTGAATCAGATGCCATCGTCTTCATTGCCTTTTTTTCAGGAATGGTTATTACAATGAATAAATGCAGCTTGTAACTAAATGTGTCTGTCTGTCTCTCTCTCTCTCTCTCTCTCTCTCTCTCTCTCTGATTTTCCTTTCAGGAAGAGCTAGAAGACTTCCTTCTGCCAACAGTCCAGCTCTGCCAAACTGTGCTGAATCAGATGCGGTACTCATCCATACTCCTGCTAGTGTGTCAAGACTCAGAGCAGCACAAGCCTGACATTCATTTCTTTAATTGCGATGAGGTGGAGGTAAACAAGGGTGGGGAGAGGAGGGGAGGAAAAAACAACATGGTATATTTTAGCAGCTTGGTGCTAGATGAGAAAATGTTGGTGTGCAAGCATGACTCCACTGTGACCGTGTTCCAGCTCTGCAGCCACATGCAAGCAAGGACCTCCTGTTGTCAATATTAGCAGAGAAAAGCATTTCTTCTATCCGCAGTGCTTAATGTGCAAGGGAAGGGATGTGCATACAGAAAACTCTTGATGGCAGGCAAGGACTGCCGTGCAAAGCTTTCGTGGGAGCGAATCTCACAAAATCTTTGCAATCACATATGGAACTGTGATTTCTAGTGTATTTGTAGCTGTGAAGCTAACACACACACACACACGCAGAGCATAGTACAATGAAACATTTTTTAATGCAGCATTTGTTTATAAGACCTTGTTCCATTTGCATTCTTACATGCATTCTTAAATTTCTGCCATGATACATTTCTTCTCTTGAGACCAACCTGATCTTGTATTTTAGGCAGAGATGGTACATGAGGACATAGAAAGTGCACTTGCTGACCATAAGTTTGGAAAGAAGATACGGCCGCAGACTCTCAAGTAAGTGGGTGCTGTGGACAGGCAGGCTCCAGCAAGTAAATTGGGAAGAAGCTTCGCTTGCCCTACTCTGCAGAAGTCACAAAGCTCATGATCCACCCTTAATTTAATTTCCTGCTCCTTTTAAGTTATTGAAGTACTAGGTGTGTCCCTTGGAGGTGAACACATTAGGATTAAAGGACAGTAAAATTAGGCACAGCCTTGTGAAATTTTGAGCAACAAAGGCAGGGAAACAAGTAATAGTAATAATAATAATAATAATAATAATAATAATAATAATAATAATTTTATTATTTATATCCCACCCATCTGGCTGGGTTTCCCCAGCCACTCTGGGTGGCTTACAGCATATGTCTGGTGCGCTGCAAACATCATCTGGCAGCACAAACTCTTGTTTGTCCAAGGGATTATTTTTGATACCCTAACTTCTAAGGAACATGAGTCATCTTGATGGGTTCCATTTACAGATACAATATCCTGATGATAATAGGATGTGCCCACATTCAATCCTATCATATACTGAAGCAATTCCCCTGTTGTCTTTGAACTAGACTTCATTGTTTATTTATTTATTTCTTTTACTAAATGGGAATGGGAATTGTTGGGACTTTCGTGAATGAATGAATGAATTGCATAAATCTCATCTTGCCATGGTTAAGTTCACTTTCTGCTTTACTCATGTTTAAGCAGGGAGATGATGTGGGTAGCACAGGTATCATGCTTAATCCCCATGCCAACACTACATCTTGCTGTGAGCCAATGGCAGTTGCCCAAAGAAGTACATAATGTACCCAACCCTCCTGTGTGGTCTCCCTGTTTAAACATTACCCAAGCAGTGTGGGATGCAACCCGCACAGAAGTGGCAATCCACACCATTAAACCAATATAAAAACTAGACCATGTACTGTACAATATTGTCATGGCTGCTGGCCTTCCATTCCCTTTTTAGGTGTATTAGGAAACAATTTATTGATAGTTGGGAGTCTCCCAGTTTGGTTTCTAAGATGTTACTTTAAGTTGACAGAAGGAAAGTTCCCCATCCACCCTTCCCACTGCAGCCATTTGCCTCCCTTCGCTCAAAAAGCCTTATTGAATATCAGGGGTGGGGGCTTCCTTAGCGATGTGGGAAGTGGGGAACTTATGCAGGAAGGGGAAAGTCACCCAAAATCATCCTTGGATTTTAAGTTAGGAAGTTCACAGAGGGAAATGTCCCCATCTTCTCTTCCACCCAGAATCCCTTTCTGCCCCATCTCACATTGTTGAGGAAGGGTCCCCTGTCCCTTCGATGCAGCCAGCGTTGATATTCAGGGATCTGCCTAGTTAGTTTGCCTCCACTTATCCTCTGTTGATGTAGTTGTAAATAAAGCAAAGACCCTGTGTTACATTTACCTAAGGAAATTAAACCTGGTAGCTCCTCCCTTGCAACTTTTCACAGGTTAGGAAGGGAGCGCATAAAAGTATTATTGGTTGTTGTCAACTGTTTAGTCCACACCAGTTTGGGCAGCAGGGATATCATAAATGACTACCCAAAACCTTGTAACTGTAGTCATAGACAGGGTGTCCCGGTAAAAGGAGTGATCCATTGCTTCCTTTTCAGGGTAAACCAAGAGAAGATTAAACAGAGACAATCCATCCTCCCACCACCTCAAGGGCCAGCTCCAATTCCTTTCCAGTATGAAGCAAGAGGCTCACCAAAGAACAACCAGAATCGAGTGGCTCCTCCTTCACAGCATCATGAGCCAGGTATAGAAGGCAGCTGGTGACTAGTTCAGATTGATGACTAATGCAAGCATCTGCTTTGGGTTGTGACTCACCCAGAAAGTCTTATGTTGTCCTAACATGATTAGGCATGTGCTGTTTCCCAGTAGAACAGGAAAATCTCTATTCATCTTCATTGATTTCTTCATTTTAACCACTCAGGTAAAATAGCCCAATGGCAAGTGTTTATTTCGCTGTAGTAATTAAAGCAAAGGATCCTTAAACTGAAAAGCATTTTTAATAGCTTGAATAATGCTTATTCATTGTATTAGGTGCTGTATGCATCCAGAGTATATTATAAATGAGACTGAATCCATCCCACCAAGGATGCATGCATTTCCAACGAAAGTTAGTTGTACTGATTTTTCAATGCCAGCCTTTTTCTGTTGGCCCCCAGATGTTTTGTACTACAACTTCCATCCCCAGCCAGTGCTGGGGCTGATGGGAGTTGTAGTCCAAAACATCTGAAGGCTACCACGGTGGGGAAGGCGATACTATATGATAGCATTGTCAGGTCTCAACCTGGAGAACCATCATTTCTGCCTATCACCCCACAGCAATGATAAAGGATGCAACCATGACTTCTCTTATCTTAGTCCCACTGCCCAGCCTCCTCTCCCCGCCTGCCCCACTCCTGTACTGCAACATGAGTGTCCTGCTTGCTCCAGTGGATAGGAAGGGAGAGCAGATAACTCTGGGCGGCTTACAGCACATAAAAAATGGGAAAACATTAGACATTAAAAATTTCCCAATACAGGGTTGCCTTCAGGTGTCTTCTAAAAGTCAGATAGTTTTTTATTTCCTTGACATCTGATGGGAGGGCATTCCACAGGGCGGGTGCCACTACCGAAAAGGCCCTCTGCCTGGTTCCCTGCAACCTCACTTCTCACAGTGAGGGAACTGCCAGAAGGCCCTCGGAGCTGGACTGAACGATGGGGGTGGAGGTGCTCCTTCAGGTATGCTGCAAGAGGAAACAATATGTTTCTACCAGCCTGCTGTTTTCATACAGACTTAAGCACAATTTGATAGCATACAGCTTTTCTCAACATAAGATTGTTAGGAAAGTCTGGAGAATTTCTACTACAGAATAGCAGAAGGACCAGAGCGGAGGTGGCACCATTCTTTTGTGAACAAAGACACTATGTGTTTTAATAGCTGCATGACAGGCAGCAAAGCAAAACACACTTTAACCCAGGGGTCAACAAACTTTTTCAGCTGGGGGCCGGTCCACTGTCCCTCACACCTTGTGGGGGGCTGGGCTGTATTTTCGGAAGAAAAAATGAACGGATTTCTGTGCCCCACAAATAACCCAGAGATGCATTTTAAACAAAAGGACACATTCTACTCATGTAAAAACACGCTGATTCCCGGACCGTCCACAGGCTGGATTTAGAAGGCGATTGGGCTGGATCTGGCCCCCAGGCCTTAGTTTGCCTACCCATGCTTTAACCCATCATGAAGAGCTATAGCCAGAGGGAAAGCATTACCTGTTGACATGCAGCTAGTCAGGCTGAAGTTAAAAGAATTAAGCCATTCACTGAAGTGAAGGCATGTGTGCTGTGTTTATTGTGTACTGCATTAATTCACCTCTGAAAACTTGTTCAAACTGAAAGTCTCAAGCTGCCTTGAACATACTGTATATTGGACCAAAAACATCTTTCCTCTAGAAATAATTTAAATGGTTAAATCTGCTGGTCTCTGATCCTGAGAAATATTGTGCTATTTTAAAATCTAGTTTTGCATAATGGAAATAATGTAGAACTGTAATGGGAGATGGGTGTTTTGATGATGTTCATATAAGTAACAAATGTCTTTGCTGTGCCATCAATCAGATAGGTACAAAAACCTATCAGCCTGTGGAATCAGCTAGTTTCCCAGGTGATGTGTACCTGTGTGTTTCAGAATGACTTGAGCTATGAGTGTAGCTTATTGGCTGTCCAATCAGAAGCGAAAAAGAGCGCAGCAGAAGTTGCAGAGAGTTTTAAAAAACAACAACACTCCTCATACTGGCACCCCCCAAATGAGAATTGATGCTCGTTGTCTTTTTGAGAAAACTAAAAATACATTGTAAGATTGATGATGTTTCCTAGTTAGTCCTGCCTCCCGAATATCACTTTTCACAGCACATTTTGTCAATGTTTTCATATCATACTTACTGATACTAAAGCGATTTTTCTGCACTCTGAAAAGATGGAGTTGGATATGTACAGTGGGGAACAGTAATCCTCTGAATGAAAAGTGAGGGCTTGATGTGGCAGCTTCCTCGCTAAGGGTTACTTAATACCTGCCTGAACGAGTCACTTAATTCCCTGACTTGGAGATGACATGACATGTAGGCAGATGGGTAGTGGCTCAATGTCAGTAACTCCCATTTTCTGTATTCTGACTCGTTTGCCCAAATCCTTGCTTCTTGCCACTGAAAAATGATCTAAACCCTTAAAGAATTTGTTTCCTTCTCAATCTTACAAATGCAAAGTGGGTGGGTGGAGGAGTGTCTACCAGAAACATTGCATACACTGCCTGTTAAATTTCTGCAGGTTACTTTTACATTTGTCTCTTTGTTTATAGCATGGGGTGCTTACGCACATTCCACCAACCACTTTGAAAAACAAATTGGATTCTGTAGAGGATTGTACAAGTTCCTACAGAGTTCCTCTTGAGTTCTATTTACGTCTGTATAAGACAGCAGTCAGCTAGAAATCCTAGCAGCCTGGGGCCGTTAGACAGTTCTGTATTTATTTTTGTCCTAATTTGTCTTAAACCTGCCCATCCCTCATCATTTTGATCCTTTCTGTGCTACTAGAAGGATGTGAGTGATGGGCGGTACGTGTAGCCTCCCATGTGCCCATGGCTATTCTTCCCTATTGCATTTAAAGCACTAGGAGACCACTTTAACAGTCATGGCTTCCTCCAAAGAATCTCAGCTACTGTAGTTTATTAAGGGTGCTGCAGGTTGTTAGGAAACCTTGATAGAGCTATAATTCCTGGAGTGTTTTGACAATCAATCCCTTTTCCCATGGAACTCCAGGAATTGTAGCTCAGGGCAGGGAATTTGAGTCTCCTAGCAACTCTCAGTACAGTTCCCAGGATTCTTTGGGGGGGGAGCTATGACTCTTTAAAGTGGTATAATATTTATTTAAATACATAGTGCAGAAGGGGCCTAAATGTTTTGGAGTTAAGTCTAGGAAGTCATGGGAGGTCAGCGAGACTTGGAAAGGGGGTTTTTTTTTTAGATTATTATTATTATTATTATTTTAGGTTTTATTGTTAAAATGGTTCATCATTAATACACATATACAAGCATACAAAGGGTTGGGACATGTCACTTTTTAAAACCTAGCCCTGTTTTGTGCCCATAAGAGCAGCCTGACACACTCTTCTCTTTGGTGATCACTCGTAGCCGAATAAGATTGTCTTCCATAAACATGGTTTTAACAATGAGTCCGTAAGTGACTGTGGAGGCCAATTCTGGATCCACATATCCTTCCACAGTGGGGACATTGGTTTCCAGGTGGGAGTTGATCACGGTGTGGATTTGCTAAGCGTGCCTTCCTCTTAGCACATTTCTCCTTGTGTCCTGAGTTCGAGTGTCTTCAAAGCCCATGACACCTTTGGTAAAGGCTGTTCTCCAACTGGAGCGCTTGCAGGCAAGTGTTTCCCAGTTGTTGGTGTTTATACTACTTTTTTTTAGATTTGCCCTGAGAGAGTCTTTGAACCTCTTTTGTTGACCTCTTTTGTGAACCTCTTTTGTTGTTGGCAGCTGATGGGTTGTTTCTTTTTAAAATTTTGCTTAATATCTGTACATTAGACTCCCACTTAATTCACAAGAGCAGGTGCCATAACAAAAGTTGGCAGTTTTGGTCTCAAATATACTGGCGATGCAATTGAACCATTGCTTACAATCCCATGCTGCTCATGGCCTCTGCTTTTTATTTCTTTCCTGCCAGAGCTCCTTATTTATGGCAGAATGTGAATTTTGCACGCTGACACAAATTTGCTTCAGCATGAGAAGACCATTTCCTCCCTAGTTAATCCCTAACCTTGCCTCTGGAAAATAGCTGAGTTTCCACCCCATTTTTTTAAGTTATTAATTTGAAGGACATATGGGGTGGGCAGGATGAACTCTGCGAGTGTAAGCACCAGGATTCTGGACTGGATCAGGTGCACTGTATGCACCATCTGTCCCTGGCACACTGACTCTTCTTGTTCATGAATGCTGTTTTCAAAGCAACCGGATTCCACTTTGTGGCAAAGACGTCAGCAAGTATGTGAACAGGAGTGCTCTGATAGACATTGTTTAGTTGAGCTTTCAGAAAGACTCCTTCTGAGTGACTTCGCATTGATGGGATAAGAGGAGAGATCCTCTCATGGACTTGTAACTGGTTAAATAATTGAGAGTAGGAACAAATACATAGTTCTCAGAAAGGAGGGATGTCTCTAAGAATCTGTACTAAGATCTGTGCGTCTTAACTTGTTCATAAATTATCTGCAGTTAGAGGTGTGAATTGAAGTGGTCAGGTTTGCTGTTGGCACCAAGTTATTTACTGTAGGATGGTTAAAAGAAAAAAGGAAGAGATAGCAAAAAAGCTCTGAAAGGGTCTTTCCAAACTATATGAATGGGCATTAAAAATGGAAAATGTGTTTCAATGTGGTAAGGAGGCATAAAGTGATTCACATTGGGGCAAATATACACTCCTGGGGTCTGAGCACACTGGGACTGCCCAGAGAAGGGATACTGAGTTTTTGGTGGGTATTCCAATGAAAATGTCAGCCCAGTGTGTGGCTGCTTTAAAAAGGTGTACTCCCTTTTGGGGATAAATAGGGGAGAAAAGAATTGCCAGTATCATAATGCCTTTTTACAAAACCCTACTTAGAATGATGTGTGCATCATTCCCAAGAATTCTGGGGAGTAAGCAAGATATTGTAGATCAGGCCAGAAAAAATTCAGAAAAGGGATAACCAAAATGATTATGAGATTGCAGCAATCCCCCTAAAGTATAAAGGTTTAATTGAGAATAAGGCTATCAAAGGCTGCTAGCCATGGTGTCTCTGTACAGCTTCCAATGTTGGAGATAGCATGCCTCTGGAAATCATGGGTTGTGAGAGTCCTGTTGCACTCAGTTTATGCTTATAAGTTTCCCATGGGCATTTGGTTGGCCACAGTGGCAACAGAATATTAGACTAGATGGGTCTTTGGTCTGATCCAAGAGGGCTCTTATTTTTATGTTCTCATGTGGCTGAAAAAAGATATACATGAGCTGCTTGCGGGAACTGTGCACAAGAACAATCTCACTGCAGCTTTTAACAGACAGGTTCTTGGCAGTGAGGCCTTTGCACCTCATTTTGCAAAACTGAGTCCTGTATCAATAGAATAGATGGAGCTTTGCCAGATCCCACTAAATGAATTGTTTGACTCTTAACGTATGGTTGCTCTTTTGTGTCCAAGTCAACAAAATAAATCAGCAAGGTTTACAATACTGGCATATCGTGCCTTATCCTCCTGAGATATTTAATTAGCAATTTTCTCTCCACAATAATTCCCTCTGCTTCCCTTTATAAACAGTCATAACCTACCATATGTTACCAGTAATATTAATGATTATCCATATCAAATGATGCTTTGCAGATTATCTTGGTAGAAGTCAATTTTAGAAACCAGGTGTTTTGAATTTCTCTCCACTTTTGACCTCTCCTTTTTGATAACTAATTTTTTGTGTGTTTGACAGAATATGATCGACGAAGCTCCAGTTCTCAGGACTATGAAGAGTCCCGGGCAATTTTAGCACAGAAGATTGAAAAAGAAACGGTTAGCTGTGACTTTTTTAAAAAATCACAAAAAACTTATGGATGAGAAAAGGGGATGAACAGGGTGGAGATGCATTTTCTAAGGACGAAACCAAATACAATGTTAATTCTGTGAACACAAGTCATGTTCAGTTTTGTAATGTAAATACAGAGCAGAGCAGCCTAAGGACCATGAGAGTGGGAAGTAAAAGCTTGATGTTCTCTCTTGTTGTCAGGGTCCCAACAAAAAATTGCTTATTTGAACCTGATATTTTCATTTCAAGGTGCCAATGGCAGGAAATGAGAGAATTAAACTTCCCCCAACCACATTAGTCCTGAGGCTGCTCAGGCCACCCCCACACGTGCTCTTTATACACGTGCACACATACACATGAGTGTGTTTTGGCCACCTCATGAGAAGAGAAGACTCTCTGGAAAAGACCCTGATGTTGGGAAAGGTGGAGGGCACAAGGAGAAGGGGACGACAGAGGACGAGATGGTTGGGCAGTGTTCTTGAAGCTACCAGCATGAGTTTGACCAAACTGCGGGAGGCAGTGGAAGACAGGAGTGCCTGGCGTGCTCTGGTCCATGGGGTCACGAAGAGTCGGACACGACTAAACGACTAAAACAACAACAACACACACACACACACTCACACTCCCTGTGCACATTATCTGCATTCACAGAAATAGCATCCCGTCTGGTTTGGTCTTCAGTGGCGAGGGACAGAAGGGACAAGGAGAGAGGCATGCACAAGGCTCTGGCTCTCTTTCCATTTTTATTGTTTTTCATTTCTCTCTTTGCAGCAAATCCTAAACTGCACTCTAGATGATATTGAGCTGTTTGTTGCCAAGCTTCAGAAAGCTGCAGAAGCATTCAAACAGCTGAACCAAAGGAAGAAGGGAAAGAAGAACAAGAAGAAAGGTCCAGCAGGTATAAAGGGCCAGACTGCCAGCTTCAGGGCAGGGGTGGGGAACCTTGGTCTAGGAGACTTAGTTGGTCAGAATCAAGGATACACACACACACATATATATTAAAAAAGAATCAAGTATACACTTGCAGAGTTAATGCTAAATGCATTACTTTTGGTAAATGAGCCACCATAGCCACTTAGTGGGCTGTGAAAATTTGTGTCCCGGGCTTTTTTAGCCTAATCCACCCATGTTCTGTCTGAAATTAAGCGGTGCATTGGTTGCCAAATGTGAAATATATTGGCATTATTTTCAGTTCTCCTACCCCACTATTAAGAGTGCTGAGAGCTGCTGGTAGACTCCCATTCCCTTCACAGAACTACAATTCCCAGAATTTCCTGAGAAGAGGGGTTAACTGTTAACTTGCTCTGGGAACTGTGGTTCTGTGAAAGGCATAGGAGTCTCCCAGCAACTCCTAGCTAATGTTATCTTTTCTAAAAACCACATGGTTTTAACTTCCTCTCCTTTGTTTCTTTGTATTCACTGTTGTTGTTGTTTTGCTTTAAAGAGGGAGTTCTGACCCTGAGGGCAAAGCCCCCAAATGAGGCTGAATTCGTTGACTGCTTCCAGAAAACAAAGTTGGCACTAAATCTCCTGGTAAGAACCAAAAGGCACAATATAATTTGTCTCTACACTAGACAGGCAATGGTTATACTACATGCCATCATCTTATACCAAGGAAGGATTATGATTTTACATCCAAAGAACATGGTTTCTCCATATCAGGACAATATCAAGGCTGTGTACTTAGCTCTGCTTGAGATAAAGAAAGATGAGAAAGCAGAAGTACAGTTTTCCTCCTGCACCAAAGCCACGCTTCCTCCCTGCCTTCTGACTAGTCCAGTCAATCAAAAATGTACTGTTTAGCCAAAGGCCATAACAAATCTGAACAACACGTGGCCCACTATTAACTTCTGCAAGTATCACACTATGGAGGAGAATGCTGTTGGGGCACGCATTGCTTGATTGTCTGTGCAAGCCCTTAACAAGCCATAATCTGTGTGTCATATAATAAATATCTTCTGCTAATCCCCATGTAGCTGAGTGGAAGAAGCACCAGTGAGATGAATAGGCTTGCCATACGTCAGGAAAATTCCTGGCATGCCCTGGTTTTCGGGTGTAAAAATGGCTTCCGGGGGCCAGGGGGGAGCAGCTCAACCATTTTGGAGTCTTCCTTTAAAAAGCTCAATTTTACTTTTTTGAAATGTGGCAACCCTAACCATGAACAGTTTCTGAACTGCCTATATATTTTCACATGCTTAGTTGCCCCTATATCAGTCACAGTAGAAATAGTTAACAGGCAAGATATCAGTAAAGCAGAATACTGTCATGTATTGAGGAGCCACTGTTTCCACTTCAACAAAGAAAGGCGTTGTTTGCCACTACAGCAAATTCCCAGCAATGTAAATAAAAGGGGCATTCATCTGAACTGCTGCTGGCTGCATTTGACATCCTCCTAAATCCCTTTCATTGTTTCTCTTTCCAACGCAACCCATTTTAAATACAAATATTTGAGGTTTTGGGTGCACCAGTGACCTGCAATTTGTGTGGTAACATTAAGACCACACTCCGTCACTGAAACAAGCTCTGTACAAGTTAAACTTTGAAATCCAAACTAATATTTAGATTGGAAGACTCTTGGTTCAAGGACCTGGATTTTTTGCTGTTGTTACTCTATACAGTACCATGTGTGTTGGTTGCTAGTGTAATATGAATAATATCAGGAATGCCTTAGGCCAGGGTTGCAGTGACAGGGGCAAACCTGTGACCTTCCAGGTGTTATTGGACTGCAACTTCCACCAGCCCCATTCAGCATGGCCAATGGTCAGGGGTAATGAGCGTTGTGGTCCAGCAGCATTTGGAAAGCTGAAGTTTCCCATTTCTGCTTTTAAACCTCAATGTAGCACTGTCTGTTCAAATATGCCGGATAACTTACTGGGCTTGGAATGCTCAGGAAGTGTCCCCTTTTTTCCAGTTACGATGATAGAACATAAGAACATGCCCTGCCAGATTGGATCAGGGACTATTATTCCAATGCTGTTTCCAACAGCAACCATACAGGTGGCTCTGGAAGCTCACAGATTAGGGCCATGAGGTGATGGTCACCCCTGTTGATCATTTGCAGCATCTGTCACTCAAAGATATCTTTCCTCTAGAAATGAAGGTTCCATTTAACTATCATGGCCAGGCAAAGGCAAACTCCGCCCTCCAGATGTTTAGGGACTACAATTTCCATCATCCCTAGCTAACAGGACCAGTGGTCAGGGATGATGGGAGTTGTAGTCCCAAAACATCTGGAGGCCTGAGTTTGCCTATGCCTGATCATGTCTAAGAGCTGTTGATAAGTCTATCCTCCTCCTTCATGAATTTGTGTAGTCTTTTTTTTTTTTTTTAAAGCCATCTTAGCCAGTGACCAACACAGCCTGGAGAAGTTGGGAGGTTGTTAGGCAAGAGTTAATAAATGACTACTCTTTAGTTTTCTGTGGATTCATTGTTGGGTAGGAATGGATTGATGCACCTGTTTTAGTTTTATTAGAGTGTGTGTGTGTGTGTGTGTGTGTGTGTGTGTGAATTATTTTTATGTTATTTCTGTGAATTTACCCTGAGTGTTTTTCTGCCATAAAATATAGCTTAACACCTAAATAAATAGCAGAGGACTAACACATAAACTCTCCAATTATGACAAAGCTTGACTCCCATGCCAGCTAAACCTTACTTCAAGGTTTGGAATTACAGCTAAATATTTCTGCTTTTTTGATTTCATTTCTGACTATGAAAATTTAAGAAAACAGTGATATCTCTGTACCTTAGGGCCTTTCAGACAATTTGTTTATTAAGCATACATCCTGATTTGTTTACCGGCAGATTAGACAACATTGGCTATTTAATGAGCATCCATTTTCATTTGTGGAGAGGTTTGATGACATTGCACCAAATGATGTGTTCCCTCACACTCTCCAGTGCATTTTCCTATCACTTTCCTTATTGCAAAAAGTCTGATATTTTGGAGGAGTGAGCTTGTCGCACAAGACTTCCCAATCAACTATAATTGCACAAACTGAATTTTCCAATGTGTGGTTGAATCCTACTTGAAAATAGCAATAGTGTGGAAGCACCCTTAGAATCAGCAAATCAAATTTAGTTTAAACCTGATTTCATTTTCCCCCTTTTTTAGGCCAAACTGAGAAAACATATCCAGAATCCAAGTGCTTCAGAATTAGTGCATTTCCTGTTTGGACCATTGGAATTGGTATAATTGTCTTTACTATATAATTTCAACATTCTTCCTTATTCATTGCTACCATAATAATCGCCTGGCATAGAGAGTAATAACCCATTTAAGGGTACATCTTATTACTGAGGTTCCATTCAGAAATCACCTATAAATTAACAAATGTTAAACATGTTTTTAGGTATGTGTAACATTTTTATAACTATAAACTTTCATTGGACAACGACCTCTGATTTGTTCCAAAGGATTACACTAGAGGATTGAAGTGAGTCAAAAGATGGCCAGAAACTCATGACAAAAGAATGAGGCTCTTAGTTCAGTTTCTCCCATTGCTGGGATGGGAAAAATCTTCACTTGATGAAATCCTTTGCTGAGCAGCAACTCTTATAGTAATCTTTACAGGCTCTGAATGTCACAACCCTATGCCAGCTTGCTCAGGGTAGCTAAATTGGTGGGTGTTGGAGGTCTGTTTTCTGTTACAAATGCTACTAAAAGGGGTAATCATGTTGTGAGAACTCAACAAGCAGAATTGGCATTAAAGAATGTAGACAGTACATTACCTCCTATTCATCACCCAACGGCTGCATAAAACCTATTGGAATGGCTCTGTGGTGTGTCTGGCATAACCCATGTTGTGCTTAATAAGTGCTTATGTGCAACACCTTGTTTATATAATGAAGACTAAAGTGAAAACCTGCTCCATGTTAATTTTGTCAACTGTGCTTGCAGCTAAAATGTGGGAGTACAGTGAATATTCAATTCAGGAGCTATCCTGAGAATACACAATAGTATTATTTTGGAAATAGCCCACTGAACTGCTTGAATTTGACTATCCATTTTGCTTTTTAGGCTTTCCATTAGCCACCCAGTATAATATTTTCAGTAGAGAGTTGGGGTCTGGTTTTCTTTCAAACATCTTGAAACACCTTTGAAAATCCTCTTATGTGATTTCTCGTATGTTATCCAGATAGTCAATAGCTGTGGAGGTCCTGAAGTTGCAAGGTCTGTTGTCAGCCCACTTCTTTCTAGAGACGCCACAGATTTCCTGAAAGGGCATCTGACACCAAAGGAGATGACGCTGTGGGAGTCCTTGGGGGAGACTTGGACAAGGTCAAGGTTAGTTTCAAGGAGAGAACCAGAAGAGAATATAAAGTTGGCTGAAGCTGGTAAAGGGGAGAGCCCCTTGAGAGATCACATTAACGGAAGCATTAACTGGGTCAATAATGTGCATTTCTTTAGAAAATGGGGCAGAATATCTCAACTTGCAGTATCGGCTTAAAACTTTATGAAGGGGTTCTGAAACTAGATTTTTCTCTGACACAAACAACACACATACACACCTCTTTAGAAACCTATCAATGTTTCTAAAAGTATTGGAAGCAAAACAAAAACAAAACAAAACTTTAGATTAGAGTCCAACAGTAGGTGTTAAGAGACTGAAAACTGGTTTTGTGAGTAGCAATGCTTGATTTGCTTCTCTTGTGTGTACACTACACAATCCTCTTTCCACCCCAAGAGTTTTTAACCATTGAAAAACCTGTAAAACCTGTTTACCAAAACCCAAAGTGGGATGGGTGTCTACACCATGGGCAGCAATTTGCCTTTCAATCTATATTCAACTCTACAGGGGGGAAACACTCTGTCTCCAGCGTTATTTGGTCACTTAAGTCAATTAGTGACCTAAAAGCATCAGTCTGCTGACTTCTAAAATACGTGTTGGACTTTTATAATGACAACTGTAGCCTAGAATAGTAGAGTGGGCCATAAGGTTCTTGCAGCATATAAACTTCTTCTCAATGTGTTTCCAAGAGCTGAGTGGCCAAGAGAAGCCAACATCCCAAGCTATATTCCAAAGTTCCGCAACGGATGGGAGCCACCTCTTGAAATACTCCGTGGAGCCCCTTGGGAAATAGATATTGGCCACCTGCAAGATGAGGTGAGACTCAGGCTTAACTCCACCCCCTCCTAATTTCTCTTCTTTCATCTTACTCATTTAGTGGGCTGAATACTCTGCAAGCATGCAAGTAGGCAGATGTATGGCTAATAAAGGGAAAATTATTCCAATGAAATGCCTACTTCTTTTTGGTATTCCTATTGTTCCTCGCATGAATAGATGATCAAAGACACACTGAGAGCTGTTTAAACTAGAGTAACCCAACACAATCTAGCTGGCAACACACATATGCAGAAGCAGCCTTCCATATGCATATCTCTACCTGCAAATGGGAAATGCACAAATGGATGTTCTGTGTGATGCTGAAAGAAATCCTCCAGACCAGTGAGATTATTAGCCTTAATGGAAGGGAAGGAGTAGAGTTGGATTAATTGTACCTCCAGTGCTCTTCCTGTAACCTCATGAAAGGCCCTGTCACTAATCATCTGGCTAGCACTGCATGTCTGCAGCCCTGATTGCTGGATGGCATTTTGCAGCAGCCCACTATCAGAAGCAAGCATGCATATATGGCTCAACTGAGGCCATCGTTTCAGTTTTGTTTCCTCCTTTTCAATGATAGAATGTATTGTAGCAATATCGGTCAAATAGCACCTGTATAAAAATCAAATATTTGAGCAGAGAATCAGACCTATGGAGGCTACAAATTAATATGCCAGGAACTGAAGAACCCCCAGATTATCACCTCTTGCAATTAATTTGAATCAGAAGTCCAGCAGCTGTGTACAGTATTTTAGCTTAGGAAATTTATTGGGTGGGAAATGATGATGATCATGATGCCATTGCTTAGTGGTAGTTTTGCATGCTGAAATTACCCCATGTTCAATCCCTGGTATCTCATGGTATCAGGAAACAGGTAACTGGAAAGACTTCTTTCTCAGATCCTGGATAGTTGCTGCAAGTCGGAGTAGACAATAATGAGCCTCAGGAGACAAATAAGCTGATCTAGTATAAGAAAGATTCCTAAATTGCTTTTAAACTTACTGTGTGAGAATTCACATTTGAGTTCATCAGCTTCAGGGAAGTGGCACCTAATGCCAGGGGTGCTGTTAGGAAATTTTACTGCAGGCCTCCTATCTCCTGCCACTTTCCACAATTTTGCATTTAAACCCCTTTAAAAAAAACCAAACACAACTTTGCTTATAGGACAGCTGGGGACACTACGAAGTGCAATGCTGGCGAGATGCCAGCTATCCTCTGCTTTAATTTCTCTGAGTCACTATACATATAAATTTGCATAACCAAAATGTTACACAGATTTGTGTTCTGGATTGTGTCACTAGCAACACTTTGCCCAGTGGTGTTTATGAAATACTGCACTATATTCATGTGAGAAGCAAACACAGTGGGTTAAAAAAATAAAATATTACACAGCTAACTGGAAAGACACAGAAACACAGGTTTCAAAGGTCAAATAGATGTTCATTGGAAGAACAGGAGGCATTCATTGCTGATACCAAACCCTGCCCCAGAAGTGAAACACTTGTTACCCTTTGTACTCTTGCATTGACTCCCAAGTAAAGTCTCCTTCAAACACATGTGGCTGCTGCCAACCACCACACCCACCTTGCTGTCATTTGATCTTCTGTCTTCTAATGCAAGAAATAGAATGAGCACTGCCTGGCAGGTAAATTATTAGTGTTGTCTTACTTGCACTTTGAGAGGCTGCTTTCTAGTCAGCAGAAAGCTACCCAGACCTGGCTCCTTCTTCAAGAAAGAGGCATGAGTTATACAGCTACATTTCACTTTCATGACTTTGAATGCTGAGACTGTTGACATGCTGTATCTCAGTTTGGCAATAATATTTCTTCCATTTTATCTAAGCTGTCATCACCTAATGGATATTCCAGCCGGAACATAAAGCCTGTCCAGACATCTGATCAAAGTCCAGCAGTGGATGCTTTTGCTCAACATGTTACTCAACATGTGAACAGGTAATTTCTAGAATATAGAATAGACCAGGTGTTTCCAATGTATGTCCACCAACCACCAGTGGTCAATGAACTTCATTTAGGTGGTCTGTCCTCTTTACTGACAGCTGCATCTAGAGAATGAGTAAATGCTAACACAATGATGCCAGCTTACACTTTTCTTCAGCTATATGTTACTGTGGAAATGCAAGTCAGTGACACCCATGTATCTCCCTGTAGTGTAGGCCTAACTACCTGGTTGTGGAGGGCAGAAATTATCCTTAAGGTTTCCATTCTACTAGTCCCAACTATTCCTTCCAATGACTCACTATGTTACTGGCATGCTTCACACAACGTAAATATAGCTCACATTCTCCTGCTTATTCCTAGCTTCTTTTCTGAGAACTGCTGGAAAAGATTACTACCTCCCTTCCTGTCTAGTATGTTAGGGCTCCCTGTGTCTTGATTCCAAGTTCTGGTGCACAAAGATGACTTCATCCTTTAACCAGTTATGAGGTTTTGTGAGCGTTTATTGGTGGGAATGCCAAACGTTGTCCCAAAACAGGAAGACTGAACAAAGAACACAAGAAGAATTCTCATAGCAAGCTCAGATATTAATGCAAAGTCGTACCTTGGAAGTCAAATGGAATCCATTCTGGAAGTCCGTTCGACTTCCAAAATGTTTGAAAACCAAAGTGTGGCTTCTGATTAGCTTCAGGAAGCTCCTGTAGCCAATCAGAAGCTGTGGAAGTCCCGTCGGACATTCAGCTTCCAAAAATAGTTCACAAACCAGAACAGTCACTTCCAGGTTTGTGGCGTTCAGGAGCCAAAACGTTCGAGAACTAAGCTGTTCGAAAACCAAGGTATGACTGTTTATCACATTACCAATGAACCACATTACAATCTGATAAAAGCTTTGAGGAGGGTTTTTAAAAGTGAATGTATTAGAGGGATCTTTAGTGGCTATGCAGGAAAATTCTTACATTCAAACCAGTAATACTAATAAAAAGTAGTAGAATAATGAGGTATGTTTCCCATGAAAGATGTTGATATAAGCCTAAGAAAGCTTTTGATTAATAGAAGGGAATACAGTGGTACCTCGGGATGCGAACGGGATCCGTTCCGGAGCCCCTTTCACATCCTGAACGCAACGTAAGCCGCGACGGTGCGTCTGCGCATCCACGGGTTGCGTTTTGCCGCTTCCCCACATGTGCGTGATGTCATTTTGAGTGCACATGCGCAAGCGACGAAACCCCTGAAGTTATGCGCTCCATTACTTCCGGGTTGCCGCGGAGTGCAACTTGAATGCGCTCAACCCGAAGCACATTCAACCCAAGGTATGACTGTAATGGGTGCTTGAGAAAAGTAATATTATTAAGTGTTCTGAAACTATGCAAGTGGTAAGTGATAAAAAATACTTGTGTTTTATCTCAGCCTGTAAACCTGTCCTCAAATAATACTGTATTGTGTTGTTGTTTTTTAAATATCAGCCAGGTAAGAACTTTCAAGTCTCAGTGACTCTGATCCAGCTCCAATATATGGCATACAAATGCTAGAGTCACCATATTAGTCTCTGCCAGGAAGCACACACACAAAAGTGGCATCTGAAAGACCTGCATTTAAAGCTTATGGCACAATGAATCTTTAAGATGCTAAAAGAAGGTATATGCTAGAGGAACAGATGGTCCTGACTGAGAAAGTACATCCACATCCATCACAAAAGATGCAGTCCCTTCTGCCATTGTACACTTTCTCTTTTAGCTAGTGCAAAGTGGTCTTAAAAAAGCATGACACACTTTCCAGCGCCAATATCCTTCCAAATTCCTGGGTTAGCATGAAATAAATTAAGAGAGCTATTGTGATTTGAATTAGAATTTTATTCCAATGGGTTATATTTTTATTCAACTTTGTTTACTGTTTGTTTTAGTATTATGGTTTGCTATGGTTTCATAGAACCATGTGTTGTTGTTGTTGTTGTTAGGGAAAGTGGTCTATATACTAGACTAAAATGGAAAAGTTCAATGATATATCTTTTGATTTTAATACGTTGTTTTCGATTAGATGGTTTTTATTTCAACAGGTAGAGGAGGCCAATCATAATCCCATTATGTCTTTATTGCAGGAATTTTGAGGCGCAGGGTATGGCCCCGTCAAAGAGATATGCCAAAATCCGCTATGATTTCACTGCTCGAAATGCCAATGAACTTTCAGTGCTGAAGGAGGAAATTCTGGAGGTAAAAGAATGGAACAAGTGCAGAAACACACCATAGATTTAAAGCACACCCGACACAAGTTTAAAGCACATGAGTTCCCCAAAGAATCCTGGGAACCATAGTATTCCCCTCACAGTGCTACAATTTCCAGCACCCTTAAACTACAGTCCCCATGATTCTTTGAGGGAAGTCATGTGCATTAAATATACTTTAAATCTATGATGTGGATCTGCCCCAAGACATTATTATTGGAAAGGGTCAGTTGATCACCCTTGCTATGCACCAATCCTTCTGCCCTCCATGACAATAATGCTATATAGAATATATTGTTACAAGAAAGAAGATTCCAACTAAACATCAGCAGGAACTTTCTGGCAGTAAGAGCTGTTTGACACTGCAGCCGACGCCAACAAGAGGAGGTGGAGTCTCCTTCCTTGGAGGTTTTTAAGCAGAGGTTGGGTGGCCATTTGTCATATATGATCTAGTTGAGATTCCTGCATTGCAAGGGGTTGGACTAGATGACCCTTCAGGGTCCCTTCCAAGTCTACAGAAGGAGAGAGCATACACTGTGTGTGCAGAATTCACAACAATACACTATGTTAAACTAAAGTGTTGTAGAGACTGCTCATACGGCCCACATTCTCTATTTTTAAAGAACTAATAGGGATGAATCAGCAGCGAGCTGAAGGCAATGTGGTTTGGGAGATGGAGACCAAAAAGCAGAGGGAAGAAGTGGATGTAAATTTACCTGTTCCTTATTAGCAAGACCTTCCTATAGGCTACACAGGCATTTTGGAGCAAAAGTCTTTACAGGTTCTTTAGGATAGGAACAGGAAGAGTAAGTTTGATGCTTTTCAGTATATTGGTGAAAGGAAAGAAATAAAAATGGCAAAGGAGTTACATAAAAGTCATCATAGAAACACAGAATTGTAGAGTTGGAAGGGGCCACAAGGGTCAACTAGTAGTCCAACCCCCCGCAGTGCCCAATGTGGTGCTTGAACCATGAATTACTTTTTCCCAGCTGATGAATATTTTTTTAACATTTGCAGGTGTTGGAAGATAATAAACAGTGGTGGAAGCTGCGAAATAGAAGTGGGCAGGCTGGTTACGTCCCATTTAACATCTTGGATCTGGTGAAACTGGAGGATTATGGGCTAATTGAACAGGTGAGATTTAGCCATTGATTCACTGCAATCAGACTCTAAAGCAGTTACTTTAAATAATCACCAACTCCCTCTGATAGTGTCTACAAAATACAGGTTTGTCCTAAGTATAAATTCTTCTTAAATATAAATGAATGTGAATAAATTTGTGCATGTGTTCAGTCTTGAATGCCACATGAACCTGCAATGTAGCCATACATTTGATTATTTTTATTATAGGGAGATCAGAGGGGCATATATAGTTCTCTTCCCCAATTTAATCCTCATGGCAATCCTGTGTACAACCTTCTTATGGTTCTTTAGAGTTGGGGCTGGCAGCCATTCAAATAGACCACTGTCCTCTCACAGGACTGTCCTCTGTAAAGGACCTAATGCCTTCGCATAAATAGCCAAAGGCCCATCTCTACTGTCAGCTGTACCAAGTGCCCAACAGCAGTCTAGTATGTTGGAGTTACCAGGATGCTCATCAGCTGGCAATTAGGAATATCTGGGGTCAACACAGAATGAAAGTGGAGACTCCATAGATCATGCTGCTGCTGCTGCTGCTGCTGCTGCTGCTGCTGCTGCAGCAGCAGCAGGAAGAAGAAGAAGAAGAAGAAGAAGAAGAAGAAGAAGAAGAAGAAGAAGAAGAAGAAGAAGTAGTGCTGTGATAGTTCAGCTCTTATAGATCTTCATCCGAGCAACTGGGAATGGAAGACAGTAGGAATGTGTTTAAAAGGAAAGCATTGCACTTAATGAGACACCTTTTTTTTTTTTTTTTTGTAGAAATACAAGGGAGACTTGAGTCCAAGGGGAACTGGACCATCCAGCCCCTCACATAAGTTACCTGCCAGCTATGCTGGGGAAATGCTCGCCCGGAATTCTCCTGATGCCAAAGAACGTAAGTATACAATTGTCGGAATACCTAGCACTCTGAACAAGTTGCATTTTGTATTTTCTGACATGGTATGCAACTGATATTATAAAGGCCCAAAACCCTGATCTTTAGTCTGAACACTTCAGCTAAAAACCACTTCATGTGCGAAAATTTGTACTTTGGTTTCAACTTCCAAAATACAAGGGGTGGGGGGAGTACCATAGCATCACACATATGTATAAAGGGCAACTTGAAAACTTACATTATATAAATGCAGCCTTGATCCTTGCCCAGTTGCTGGAATGAAACACATGTGATTTGTACATCATGATCTTTTTAACTAATCTGAGAACACATATTGTGCACATATAAGTGTCATAACCTTAGATCAAAATGTTTCATAAGAAATGGCCCTTGGATATTTGATGTTCTTTTCCTCTCAGTTAAAATGTTCAGTGTGTGCCATCACTTTAAACATAAATTCTGGTGGGAGTCGTTAAAATCAGTCATCATAACTGTAGACTAACTGCAAATGACATGCAAATACTCACAGAATAACCTCAGCCCTATTCATTTTTTAAAGAGAAGAACTTTCAGGGGAAGGAATTTGGAGTGGGAAAGGTGTGGGAGCGGGGTGCATATTGCTCTCCCTATTCATAAAGTGACTCCTAGCTACTTTTCTCCACGTGGGGCTTAACATGTGCGTTTAGCCATACAAACACCTGGAGGTGAACTTGGAGCAGAAAAAATGTGGGTGGGGAAAAGATTAGGCATTTGTTTTTCATGTGTACTTAACTCCACAGGATAGATGCAGAAGTAATACTGCTTGCTTATCCTAACCTGAATACTCACGTCTATTTCCCTAAACTGGTTAAATTGATATAAAAGGGTAACTCTTCAATTTGAACAAATTGGTTTTCATTTGTGCTTTGTGGGACTGCAAATTTCAGACCAACCAACTAAAGCTTTACCTGAAGTAATGGGTGGGGGAAGATTTTAATTAGTGAGGTAAAAAAAAATTAAGCAATGCAGATGAGAGAGAACTTGTTATTTTTGGAAGCAATATTGGTTCTGGTGTGTTTGTTAAAATAGATGGTAAGGAAACTATCGAAGTTGGCCTTTCTTTCTAATAACAAATGGTTGCTTTTGTTTGTTAAATTCCAATTTCTTGTTCATTCTTCAGTATGTAGAAGCCTATGAAGATTTGGTAATTTGCAAATACATTTAAATTTTAACCAATTAATTGACAGAGATAGATGATTAAATAATTGTTCATTGAAGAATTGTTCATTAATCAGTTTGACAACCCTTGTACTCTCCCTCCCCTTCTCTCCAAATTTATGTGCTGTTTTTAGAACTGATTCATCATATGGATGAAGTCAATGATGAACTGCTGAAAAAGATCACCAATATCAAAGTACAACCACCCCAGAGAAACTTTAAAGTAGAGAAGACTCAACAGGTTCATGTGCCTCTGACCTTTGAATCCAATGCTGAGGAGGTCAAAGCATGGCTGGAAGCAAATTCTTTCAGCAAAGGGTGTGTTCCTTTTTCTACTCTTCTTACCTTCTCCTCTTGTATCATGCGAGGTGAACTTGGGACAGTGGAATAAAAAGTTTTCTTAATAACTAAGTTACTTGCACACCAGGGGTGCGGGGAGAGACGAAATTCAGAAGGGAGTCCTGCATTCCAAACCACATGTTTTCTCAGGTCTCTGTTGTTTTGAGAGCTTCTTCTATCTTCTTTCTTCTGGAATAGTCCAGCTGGTTGCAGATCACTGGGGGGGGGTGTGTGCTCAGTTTTACTCTAGAAGCAAGGGAATGGGTTGTGTTACCTCCACAGTTAATCTTGCAATAGTCAGAAGTTAATATGCCGTGAAAGTGATGAATGGGCCCCTGGACAGTCTGTTCATTATGCAGTGGTACCTCGGGTTAAGCACTTAATTCATTCCGGAGATCTGTTCTTAACCTGAAACTGCTCTTAACCTGAAGCACCACTTTAGCTAATGGGGCCTCCTCCTGCTGCCGTGCTGCCAGAGCACGATTTCTGTTCTCATCCTGAAGCAAAGTTCTTAATCTAAGGTACTATTTCTGGGTTAGTGGAGTCTGTAACCTAAAGCGCATGTAACCTGAAGCGTATGTAACCTGAGGTACCACTGTATGGGGGTGTCAATACAGTGTCAGGTTGAACCATACAGATGGGAGCATGATATTTACCTAGAATTGCATACAGAGGTGGCAGCACCCACACTGCTAAAGGGGCTGAAGAAAGGGGTCTGAAAGTATTTACCATCATGTGCTCTGAAGGTTCCATAGCCGTGGAGCTAAGCCTCTTCTCAAATTTCTTGCACCTCGAGCACTGAGAAGCTGGCTAAGGGACCTTCTCAAATGAGCTTTGAGGTCCTGTTTAATGAAACCTAAGAATGGAGGCCAAAGTTATGAAACATAACCAAATTACCTGTACATTCAGAAACCCACTTGGCAGGTATTGGATTTTGAGGGACAAGATGTCATTATTTAACCTCTCAAACATAATAAGAATTTAAATAAAGCTACTTGCTTATGTTTTTCCAGAACTGTGGACCATCTTGGCATACTAACAGGGGCACAACTTTTCTCTCTGAACAAAGAAGAGTTGAAAAAAGTATGTGGAGAAGAGGGTGCCAGAGTGTATAGTAAAATCACAGTGCAAAAGTCTCTCCTAGAGGTAAGATGGCACATTATTTATTAGGACAAAAATATTAGATGGTTTCAAGACGATAAACATTTGAAGGCTGCATCAAGACTGTAAAAAGTGGGTAATAAGAACATTGTTATTGAAGCTAGTTCCTCCTACAGAAGGAGAAGTTGTAGTGCTTGGACTAACAGACTCTGTTTCTCTGGTACAAGAATTCCAACCAATTTGCTATTGTAAATAAGCTTAGGGCAGAAGCAGGCATTCATTAATTTTCCACATTCAAAGCAGAATGTGAATTTTCAGAGCAAGATACATTTTTCAAGGAGCTGATGAAGTTTGTTCCCCAACATTTTTAAACTTCATTGACAATACTAGGTTACTTGACACGGCCTGCACTTTACTGTGATATTTCATTGGACTGTGCAGGGTTGCCAAGTTTCAAGCAACCCAAAAACATTTCGTGAAAAGAAGTGACTGAAATGCAATGGTAGTTTCAAAAAACAGTAACTCAAAAACTAGTTGCCAGCATTTGAAACTTTAGACACCACTTAAATATACATGTTTGACTTTGACAGATAAGTGAATATCATGGGTAAACATGCTCTCATGACCATGGTACATTTTAGGGCCTAAAAACTGCCCATTGTGTCAGGGATGGAGAACCTGTAGTCCTTTGGATATTATTGGACTCCACCTCCCATCACTCCCAGCCACCATGGCCAGTGATCTGGAATAATGTGAGTTGGAGTCCCATAACATCTGGAGGCCCACACTTGCCTTAGTCTTCTTTAGCTGTTGTGATCTTCATTAGTTCTATAAGCTATCCTGATTCGTGATATATTGCAGTCTCTATGTATTGATGCATATCCCATCTCTGAAAGGAATTGTGTGTTGAGCTAACATGATATAGTATAAAAGTTATTGATGCTACCATCAATCAGTGATGAATATGCTTGTGTGCAGTATTCCTGAGATTTTATTCAAAATGTATGGGTGAATTTATCTGTGCAGTTATTCCTTTGACAATCAGCATCCAAAGCTGGAGGAATGGCAACCATAATATGGACCCTAAAATAGTGATGAAATAAGTGGGGAAGTAGTGGAGAATTGGCTGGTTGTGCAGGAGTTTTACAGTTAAGCAAAGTGGAGAAATGTTGCAGTGACATCTATCAAGTGTTTTTATTGAGAAACAGATACGAAACCCACAACTTCAGTGTTTAAGGCACAATAGTTTCTGTAGGTCACAGCTGTGAGCTTTCACCTCTGTTCCTTCCTTTCGTTGTTCACCAAAGTCACTCAAATTAGAAATTTGTATAGTAACTCAAAGGTCACTGAAAAGTTTGCATTATTTATCTTTTGCTTTTATTCCAGAAAAGCAGAGGGGAGTCGGAGCTTCAAGAAATCATGAAACGACGCCAAGAAAGGATTGATTCTGCTATTTAAGTTTTATCTTCTTATCCCCCTGCCCCTTGCCCCAACACACACACTTGCAAAAAACAAAAACAAAAAACAAAAAGGGAAAGAGAGCAAAACAAAGAAAAATGGAAAAAAGACTGCTGGAATCAGCACCTAAGCAATGTAAATTGCCATCTAGATTGACTGTTCCTTCAAGCACTGTTAGTGAGGCCATGCTCCCTCACTAACGTGGCATGCATTGGGAGAGAGGTTCTAGTATTGTATGAAGTATTATTTTTATATCTCTATATTTTATACATAAATGTTATGTGCGTGAAGTTCAGAGCATGGTAAGGATAGGAACTGACATTCTGAGCAAAGGCTGGATTGAAGCAAAATGGCCTCAAAATTATCTATGGCAGTCAGCTTCCTGTGTGGCCCTTCACTATTTTCAAAAAGCCTCATAGAATGGGCTGGGGGCAGAAATGATACAAGCCTATAAGGATGTTCTGAGGCCCTGTATTTTGAAAACTACAAGCCGGCTGACCATTCAGTTGTGTTTTTGTACACAACACAACAAAGCCTGGATTAGCCTAAAGTGGGAAGGGGAGGGGAGAGATTACTTCTGGGGCCACTGTTGTGACGTGTTATATTAAAAAAAACCAACACAAGACAAGATGATGATCAACTAGCAGGCAAGTGATTTAAAGTTGGTTTTGGATTTTTCTAGAATGAAGTTGGCAACCAACTCGTCTTTTCTCCCTCCCTAGCTCTAAACTGCATTCACTGCTTTTATATGCCATCAACAGGGTACAAGGAAGCCATCATGTACCAAACATAGCCACGGTTTATCTGAGGGCAGTTTTAATGTCATAACCATTAACTGCTGTATCTCCAGGGAAAGTTGTAATATGAGCTAAATGCATATTCTGAAGTCCTTTGATAAACTTTTGGCCTAGCAGTTGCATTGGTGTCCCTGCCTCCCCACGCACCACCCCTCTAGTCATCATACCTTCAAGTCTCCATCATCATATTTGGGACTAACTCTGAAAGCCTCCATTCTTGCAAAGTCAAGACCCCACACAGTGCTATTGTGACCCTTAAGGGATGGAGTATCCATTATGTTTAGGTAATTAAATATTCAAACTATCATGAAAAAAGGAATGTCAGCAGTGTGGATCACATTGGAATTGGTCATTAGCACTATATACATATATATATATATTCATCATATGCCTTTTCTCACTGATTGATATTAGAAGAAACCTAGAATCTTTACATTTTGTGCTTCCCATTATTTCACCCATTACTAAGCAGTGCCTAGAATAGGCTTTACAGTGAAGAATGACCTTTTGCAACTTGTAGATGAATGGTAATAGCTAGTTACTAAATACAAGAGTTGGGACAACTTTCTCTCTCTCCCTGTACTATACAAGACTATTGTTTTCAAGAAAGAAGTGGAGCTGAAAAGAATGGCAAATGGATGCATAGTCAAATTTCCTTTGTGACAACCTATTAATTGTGTAATAGTTAATAGGTAAAAAGTCTTTGCACTCATCCTTATGAGCTACAGCATTACCCAGTTGATCATAACCAATCAAAAGACGATTGAAAATATGAGATTTAATTTCAACCCGATGTGCATTCACCATCCTCAAAGCATCCAGCTATCCAATTTACAGATTATATGGCCTATTAGACAAATTGGGTTTGTATTCAATGTAGCACTTAGCAGCGCTTTCCGTGAGCAGAACAACTTCCACTTTCACAGTGGTACTTTCCCTCCTCTCCCTTCCCATGCACCCCCTAAATCTGCTCTGGGTTTACCCCAACCTTCCAGAGCAGATTGGGGGATTGCACAAAGGGTTAGGGCTGCAGGAGAGATGGGAAGTCAAGCCATGCAACTAATAATCATTCCACTTGTGTATTTAGCTGAATACCACCCATTCATGTTTGGAAATATTGTAATGAATTGAAACTTCCATTAAATAAAATGTTTTCAGTCCGTATGATGAAGAAGAAAAAGGTGAGAAAGTTCATACAGTACATGCTGTACCTGCCTGGAACCCCTAAGACAATATAAAGGCACCCCAAATTATATTTTTATAATTCTTAGTCAGCTTCATGCTGCAGTTTGATAGTAATAGAGTTTGCAGTCAGTTCATCATGCTAAGATGCAGATGCCACACTGCTCCCTTTTATAGCCAATTACCACCTTTGGACAATTAGATATAAGCCAAACCCCACAGCAGCAGTGGCTCTCAGATGCTTTGTCTTGTTCTGTACATATTATAGGGGATGACTGACTATACCTTTCTCCCACACTTGCTGGGAAACTACTTACCCCAGCATTGTAAAGCATGCAGTTGACATGCGACCACAATCTGTAACAATAGCTGGTGATGGTGGTGGTCAATAAAACTTTATTTAAGCTTTAACGTCTAGTAGTACATCTGGAAATAGAAGCCTGACAAACTTGTATGAACAAAAATGACTACTACATACTCTTTTAATTAGAGTTTTGAAGTCTGAAAATGCAAATGTATTTAACCTATAGCTGATTTCTACAATGACTTGCAACATGTAGCCTGTACATGGTATGAACAGCCCCATTATACTGTCATTAAAGAAGCTCAATTCCTTTGCATGCCTGGAGAATTTTGCAGGACCAAGCCTTTATGAAATACACACATAACTGCTTTATGTTCCTTCATCTATTACTATTATTTGTACATTAGCCACAGTGGATTTAGATTATCTGTACATAAAATGTAGTCAAGGTTCCTAAGAACAAAAACTCATGAAGGTATAACTAGATGAAAATTATGTTCACATTATATATTTTAATGGTAGCTGCGCATAGATAATTTAACATGTTAAAAATCAGAGCTAGTATAAAGTTTATATTATGTATGGAAGCTGGCAAGTATATCCTTAGCAGAATATGCACTTATTTTTGTTTAACAGACTTACAGAGCTGATCAAGCAAGCAAAATGCTTGTTATAGAGAGTGGCAGTAATGAAAGTCTAGCAAAGTAAAACAAAACCACGTCTGAGCTCCCTGAAGGGTGAGATACAAATATAAGAAATTAATAAATTGCTCTGTTCTAATATTTTGATGTGTGTTAACAATGGCTAACATGAATAGAAGTGGACATTCTAATTCTGTTAAATCTGTGGTGAACATATTATTGGGTCTACTGCTGGTAGACCCATTTGGTAACACTACTGTGGCCACACATACAGCCATAGAATAGTCCTATCTCAGACAAGTCAGTGGACCAACCATTGACTTGGTGACTGCATTTGATAAACCATGTTGACTTAACTGGGAGTATTTGCTGCATATCTAATGGAAAATACCTTTATCTTTGCGGGTTTAGACGTATTTGTTCAACCAAACATGACTTGATTAATGATGCTGAACTGTATGTATGTACTGTAAACGGGGGTGGCAAGATGGCTGAAAAATTAAAAGACAATTTACCCATGGTTTGTGTTTATTTCTAAACATGTGTCAAATTTGTAGTTTAAAATTGCACCCTTTATTCCAGTTGCTAGATTAATGCTGCACAATATTTGAACCTACAAAAATGTTTAGTTGTTGTTGTTTAGTCGTTTAGTCGTGTCCGACTCTTTGTGACCCCATGGACCAGAGCACGCCAGGCACTCCTGTCTTCCACTGCCTCCTGCAGTTTGGTCAAACTCATGCTGGTAGCTTCGAGAACACTATCCAACCATCTCGTCCTCTGTCATCCCCTTCTCCTTGTGCCCTCCATCTTTCCCAACATCAGGGTCTTTTCCAAGGAGTCTTCTCTTCTCATGAGGTGGCCAAAGTATTGGAGCCTCAGCTTCAGGATCTGTCCTTCCAGTGAGCACTCAGGGCTGATTTCCTTAAGAATGGATAGGTTTGATCTTCTTGCAGTCCATGGGACTCTCAAGAGTCTCCTCCAGCACAATAATTCAAAAGCATCAATTTTTCGGCGATCAGCCTTCTTTATGGTCCAGCTCTCACTTCCATACATCACTACTGGGAAAACCATAGCTTTAACTATATTTATAAGCTAATCCATGTGCATGTTTCCCACTTAGATGGAATTAGCCATTAGTCTTAGTGTCTAATTGTCTAGGAGGCACCTGCATTACTGAGTTTCTGAGAGTGCTGCTTATAAATGGGGGCAACAGCTTACTAAAAAGGTCTTCTGGGCTGGGACTAAATACTGTAAACATTTCATTGAGATATTGCCAATGGGCCATTGGCAATGGTTTTTGTATTTTTGTTTAACTTAGTGGATTTTCCTGAAAGGGAAAATCTGACTAAATGGCCATTTGCTATTCATGTATTGCACAAACCAGAAGCACAAGATTGGGTAATCCAGAACACTGTACAAAATGCAGCTTTGAGCTTTCCCTGCACATTTGTGCCAGGTTAATGTAAACAAGAAAGTTGAAAGGGAATGTACACTGTAGCTGGTGTAGATTTTACACATGTAGTTACAGGACAGTTCAAGCAAACTGATTTCTTATTCCATGGGCTCTTGTAAGCCACCACTTATTTCATCAGATCATCTGTACACAACAGCTGACTTTATCAGGTGATCATCTGGTGATGTACACTATTGCCTATAAGAACTTACTGCAGTTAATCAGTTTCAATGCTACTGTAGTTTGCTTGCTTCTGATCTAGTGGCTTCTTGGGGGTAGAGAAGTTCTAATGCAAGCAGGCAAGACCTCAAGCAATATTATGTACAGTGAATTGCAGAACTGAAGGGGTTGGATGCTTGTGCAGTAAAACTAAGACATGCAGTCTCACAGGTCAATGGTGCGTTCAGGTGAACACTCAAAAAGTGTAGATGGGTGGGGCGCACAAGCAAGCCCTATCTCCAGCATGCTCATTCTACCCCTTCTCAGTTCTCAGCCTTCACCTTGTGTTGCACAAGGAAGTCTGCAGGGAAGTCGTAGATTGTGCAGAGAAGTCTATTTGCATTCAATGCAATTTGAGTAGACACTGTGTGTGTGTGTGTGTGTGTGTGTGTGTGGTGTAAACAAGGATGTTAGTGGCAAAGCTTGCCACTTATTTTTCACTTTCAGTGCCTGCATGTTCAGGCAAATGCCAGAACGAGCCTACAGAGATTTGTAATTCTTTACACGACATGTCCTTTCAAGAACTACCAGTTCCTTGTACTTAGGCAGGAGGGGTGAAGTCAGTGGGAGGGAGAAAGAACCATAATAATCAGGGACATTGATTCCAGTGATGAAAGGCAAATCCAAGCCATTCATTTAAAGCACAAAACTTCTCCCTTGCAGGCCCTTGAGTACAGAGTAAACGGTCTGCGTTCAAACGTGAGTTTAACGTCTAGTTCACACACACACGCACAGCTCAGACGCCTAGGTAGTTCGTCTACTGAGTGTGTTTTTGAAAGAGTGTAATAGGAATTTTGTGGTCTTGGATATATGGTGGTGTTCGTGGGTGTGCCAACCAAGCACATACATAGATCAGCACAGGAAGGCCAACCTGGAACCATTTTGATTCCTAAACTGACCAAATCTTTTCTCTGCAAGGTCAAAATGGAAAAGCTTCCCCATTGTCTTTTCCTTCACAAATCCTGTCTGTGTTTGAATAGGGTGTGAGCCTGTGACCTGGCCCAGGAACTAAGTATTTATCATTACAAAAGACTGGCCAGGCTACCCAGGAAATCCAATCAAGTAACCTGCCAGACAGGAGATAAACAAGGACAAGAGAAAAACAACATTTAAATTTCTGTGATGTAGGTATGATATATCTGAGCGGTGGTCTTAGTTTACACCCCTTCTGTGATGTATCTATTATGTTTCTGGGGGTGGTCTTGATCTACAGGGTGGCAATTTCAAAAGTCTATAAGGCCTTGCACACCATTTTTCTGGGTCCTCCTCCTTTCCTGGGTGTGAGGGGAGCACCCTGTTGCAACAGATCAATAAAGATCAAGCTTACTAGCTGCTTTGCTTCTCAATATTCTCTGGTTGGCCTCTGTTATTTTCTCCTACCAATAGGGAACCTATGTAAGGACTCTATATGGGCTCTTGGATACCCCATAAGGGAAAAGGGCAATTTTTGTTTACAACAAGAGAAATTGGCTTTAGAAGATAATTCATGATTTTGCAGTGAAAAGGGCTAGAAAAGTAAGTTTTAATGTATGTTTGTTTTTTTAAAAATGCCTAGGACTATTAGCAAGCTTCATAAGACTCTCTCTCAGGCTTCGTATTATTCATTTTAATTCCGAAGTTACCCTAAATAATTCATGATATTCTAGGTGTGGCGCATGCTACAAATGAGCCGCGATCAGGCTGTCGCAGGAGAACAACAAGGCGAGCACTCCACGAGCTACGCTGACAGATCATCCACCACCTTCCGCCTCCTTTAACTACTTTTGAACGCTTTGAGCCTTCACGTGTCCCAGGCGAAACCACACACACTGAGAGAGCAGCCGCTTTTTCCATTCTCCGCCGCCGCCTCCTCCCCCTCCTGCGATTGGTTGCTTCCCTCTCCTCACGCGGCCTCCATTCGCTCGTCCTACGGTCAGCCGCTGCCCGCGATTGGCTGCAGACCTTGAAGCTCTCCTCTCCCGCCCGCGCTTTCCACTCGAGCCCTTTTGCGCAACCTCTTCCCGAGTTAGTTGGTTCTCTCTTCGAGGAGGCGGGCTGAAGAGAATAGGAGAAACCCGTTCGGCCGCGGCGCAGGCGCCTCTCCTTAACCCCGCCCCTGCCTGTAGCCCCAGCGCGCAGAAGCCGCCTCGGTCGCCGCCGGTCACGCGCAGCCCTTGAGTGGTGCGAGGGAGGAAGGGCGGGAGGGCGGAAGAAGGGCGCGCGCCCCTTGCCAACGCTTCCGTCGAAGGGCGCACAATATATAAAGGGTCTCGCGAGGCGCAGGTGGACCATGTCGGTTTCCCCAGTGAAGAGGCAGAAGATGGAGTCGGCCTTGGAGCAGCTCAAGCAGCACACCACGGTGGTGGCCGACACAGGGGACTTCCACGGTGAGAAGGGAGGAGGGGGCGGCGGCGGCGGCTGAGCCAGCGGGGTCTCCCGGCTGCTTCAGCAGCTTCCATGCCTCGGAGGAGCCGGGTGCGCGGCGGTGGCCGTCGGTCCCGCGCAGACGCGCCGGGTCTCGCTCTGCTTCTTTGGCAACTGGGTGGAAGAGTTCCGCCTCGGGTGCTGGGAAACCGGCTAATGGCGACGGGCGGGAAGGGGAGACGCAGCTGAAGCAAATTGGATTAACGAGGCTTTCTTGGCCAAACCGGCGGCGCTGCTTCCGTGGGGAGGAGGCAACAACGCCGGGCCGCTGCTGCTGCTCAAAGGGTCGTGGAAAGGGCATAGGTTCAGCTGCCGCATCCCTTTTGGGTTTGCGTCCCTGAGTGAAATCCAGCAAAGTGGCGCCCTCCCTCCCATAGTCTGCCGCTTGACTTCGATCATTTGTTTAGGAGCATATTAGTTCGGTGGTTGCTGCCATAGCTGCCTAACTCGAGACGGCAGAGTCAAAGTTAGTGGCGGGGTGGTGGTGCGCGTGCTTAGATTTATTTCGGTTCTTGCAAACTTCATGCACATCAGAAATGGACTCGCTCACGGAAGGCTTGCACTTGCGTTTAGTAGGTGCTGTTGCAGCTTTCAGGTCGTTGGAAGCAGGCAATCCATAGACCCAGTTTAGCTCTTGAGCGTGGAGGAAGCAGTTGTTGAGCCAAGATCTTCATTTAATTTCTGCTAAACTGAATTATGTCGAAGAGCAATGCAGTATAAATAAAATATTTTTAAAAGTAGCCAAAGCTAGCAACATAGTAAAAGAGCTAATGATTTCAGTAGGACTACTGTTAAGAACGACTTGCTTGGATATAATCCTTTCTCCTGTAGTGGCGACACGCTGGGCCACAGTTTAATAATTACCGGTACTTCCCTTTTTCGGGGAACACTCATAGCCAAGGTACACTGGGCACCAGCTCCAAGTCTAAAAGTTAAAACCTGTTGCTTGAATTGAATCATGAAGTCAATGAATTGTAGGTAGTACTAGGATGCTGTGATGCAGGTTCTTGGCCCAGCACTCACTATGACCTCCTGCAAATCCCAACTCAGTTCTTGCCTGTTGTAATGAAGTATGCTGTTCATTAACAGAAAATATAGTTTCTGATAAAAATTGCTTCAGTAATAAGTTTTTTAATGAAGTTAATCTGAATGCATCCATGCATCCTATAACTGAAGGCAGAGTTGTATGCATTCCACCACTTGGCTGTATAGAAATTAGAACTGTTTGCCAAATGCAACATTTCTTGATTCAGAATTTAAATTGCTTAAATGCAGCCTTGCCTTTTTTATAGCAAGTAAGCACAGCCCAAAATAAAAGCTCTGCTAAACAGACAAGGTGTATTTTGTAAATAGTCTTATGAAAGACATTGAAATACTCTGCTACTGAACAAGTTACTGCATCCTTCTAATGATTACTGAGTTGGCAAATGCAGAAGGGAGAAAAT